TGCTCTGTGCTCATCCCATACCTGACCAGGGGATCGGGATACCGAGGGATCGGGATACTCACCCCGGGATATCCCATGGCAAACATTTCCAGGGGGAATTTCTCCCCTCCCGTTTCGTGGGGAGAGCGCCCAAGCAGATTCTGGGGAGGGGACAAAACGCTCTGGGATGACTTCAGGAAGCGGCTTTTCCTGAGAATTCCGCGCTTGCCTCGCAGGGAATGGCAGGAATGGGAATTCCTGGCGCTGCCGGCTCCAAGGGGGAAGAAGGAGAGCAGGTGGGTCGGGAATTTCGCGGCAAAATTTGAATTTAAAGTCCCCCTGGAGGCTCCAGCGTCTCCAAATTCTCCTCCAACACCAGGATTTTTCCTGGAGGGTGAATCCTGTGGTGATTCTCCTGTGGGAACGTGGAGAAGAAGGGAAAATATTGGGATTTAAACTCAGAGCTTTCCCTGTTTCTCCCGTCGTTTCCAGGGGCCGACGGGACCTCCGGGAGCACCAGGACCGAAGGTAGGCACTGAAATCCCGAATTCCTGCCCCTGGTTTCGGGTGCCAAGGGAATTTTTTTATCCCTAACCATCGTCAGGGGCTGTGGGAATCAGGGAATCGTGGAATAGCTCGGTTTGGAAGTGACTTTCCAAGGTCAAGGAGATCTTCAACTGGTCCTTTCCAACCCGACCTCGACCCTTTTTTTTTTCTCCTCAAAAAAGCAAAGAAGGGGGATAATTTTACACCTGAGCAATTCCTTGAGCTGTGGAATTCCAGCTGCAGAGACCTGGGATGGAGTGGGAAGATGGGATATTTTCATAAAATAAAATATATTTTAATAAAATAATAAATGCCACTTTTGCGAGACCCCCCCAGAACTGCAGAATTTCACCCCAAACGTGGTTTAGGAGGCAAATCGTCTCCCACCGAAATTTGGGAACGCCTCCCTCCGAACATTCCAGGCCCGGATTCCGCTTTCCAGCGGGGAAATTCCAGCCCTGTGAGAGGTGATCCCTCATCCTGGATGGATTTTTCCCTGGGATGGGACCGCCCCCGCGCTCCTGGTAGTTGGAAATCAAAGCTTTCCCGGGCTTGGGAATTCCCAATTTTCAGCCAAGAGCCCCGTCTGGAAAAAATATCTTGGAATTAGTGGGAAAACTGGAGGCTGAAGAGCTTCATCCTCCTCCTCTCCCTCTTCTTGGGAAGGTCTCCCAAAAGCGGGAGCGAAAGTGCGGAATCTCTCTTGAATCCGGCGGGATTTTTGGTGTCTTCCAGGGAATTCCAGGAACTCCAGGGCAGAAGGGAGAGCAAGTGAGTGAGACAGGAAGAGGGAGCAGCTCAGCTGGGGGTATCCCGACTTTTTCCCAGCTGGATCCCAGCTCTTGGAAGCTCAGCTTGGCGGGTGAAACCACCGGGAACGTCCTCGAGCTCGGCGTCTCCTCCGATCCGCCTCGCGCTTCCCGGATGAGTTGGGAGCGGTTTTAAGGGAAGGACGGGGGCTGGAAAAACCAGGAATGGGAAGTTTTCGCCGCCCCACATTCCCCTGATGTCCTTTTTCCTTGCAGGGAAACCCGGGAATTCCAGGTGCTCCGGCTGTGGGGGTAACTATGAGCGGGATCCCGGACCTCGAGTCACCTCCCTGGAGCGGGAGGGATGCATCCCAGAATTTCAGGAATAACCCCCAGGCCTTTCCCATGACCTTCCAGCCAACTCCCTCGCTCCGCTCCTCGTATTCCCAACCCTTTTTTTTTTCTTGGTGTTCCCAGCTCCTCCTCAAAGGAGCTTCCTGGAAAATCCTTCCCCGGAAAATCCTCCAGGGTGACACGAGAGTGCAAAAATTCCACCTTTTTTTGGGTTGTTGGGAAAGTAATCCAGTTATTAATCAGGAAAAACAAACCACTGGGAAACTTTAAATTCCCATTTTCTCCTGTGGATCCTGGGAGCAGGACGAGGAGACGATGGAATCGCTTTTCCAAGCTCCGAGTTCTCCCCAGATCTCTTTCCAGGGAATATTTATTACCCCAGTGGGGGGGTTTTTTTCCAGGTTTTCCAGCCCTGAGGCAAAAAAAGGGGGAGAAATTCCCACACAAGGGAAAGAAAAGACCGGATTTGGATGCTGAAGTTGTTGGAGATCATTCCATGTTGGTCTTTTTTTTTCCCCAAGAGATGGGAGAAGGGAAAATTGTTTTCCTTGTGCTCCAGGCCTGTCCCTCTGATCCAGCTGCTCCTGGAGCTGCTCTGGATCCTGCTGGAGAACCCTCAGGGGTGTCCCATCCAATTCCAACGGGACTTCCATCCGGGAATGGGACCACCCTCAGGGACTGGGAGCAGCTCCAGCGTCCCGGAGGATGTTTGGAGGAGCAGGAATTCCCTGTGGGAAGGTCTGGGTGTGTCACCCAGAGCAAGAGAGGTGGTTCTTCCCAGAAGAAATTCCCACAGGGATGTTTGGGAAGGGG